AGATAAGTGTTTTATTTTCAACAGAAAGTTTAGTTTTTCTATTTAGTAGTCTGTATAGTTGGCCGTATTGTCGGTTAAGTTCCTGTCTTTTAAGTCTAATATGAGGGTTCCACGTTAGTCGTCTGTCTAAGTTAAAGCCAAGATACCGGACTGTGTCTGAGAAAGGAAGCTGGATGGAATTTCAGTGTACTGGTCAGAGATGGGCATATTTATATTCAAAAATATAAATACGAATACCATTTATATTTATGGTACAAATGAATATAAATACGAATATATTCGTATTAATAGAAAGTAATATGAATACAGAAGATACGTATTCACGGCTGTAAATATGAATACGGCCGTATTCACGATTGTAGAAGTGAATACGGCTGTATTTACACCTGTAAAAGTGAATACGGTAGTATTCACGTTTACTAAAATGAATACGCTTAAATTCACAGAAGTGAATGGAAATATTTTCGTACAACCTTATTAATGAATACACGTATTTATTAAAAAAAAATTATTTATTTAAAAATACATATTTACTATATATATCATTTTATTTTTATATATAGTATTATATTCTTCCGTACATGATTTTGGCTATTCTACTCGTATATTCCGGCATACTATGAGCGTGCCAGCGTAGTCTATTTCCGTCTATTGTGTTTTCTGCTGGTTTTACTCTCATTCTTCGTCGTTCTTCTGATTTTCCTCCCTTGTTTTACCCTCTATTCCCTTCAGAAATCGCATTTTCGTTGCTTGGATTTGGTTTCTGTGTTTTGAATATTTGACCCAGGATTCAGTGGCATAGGTCCGTATGGTGATGAATTTTTCTACATATTCTAAATTATTTTTTTAACCGATGTCTTTTTGTTGCCGTTGACTCTTTTTGTAAATGAATTCGTTCTTTCATACTGTTTAACAATTTACATCAATTATTACGACTTGTAAATTATTTATGCTTATATTTTTTTTAAATAATCCTTATTTTTACAGTCAGAATCGTCTTTTTTTTTTAGTATACTTTATTTTGAAACAAAGATAAACTGAACCATAACTGTAGTATATAATTAACTCCACGGCGTGATATTTTTTAATGCAATTTTACTGTATCTTTCCAAGATACAAAGTGATAAATACGGGTTGGCTACTATCAACATTTTTTTATTTTCGTTATTGAATCACATCGAATCTAAGTTTTCTCCATCCATTAATTTTCAGTATTAATTTACTTTTGATTACTTTTCCAGTTTGTGAAGACGATTTCTGTCCCCATATTGGAATTTATACTTGTTATGTGGAAAATATCATTTTACCTATTGACTTATTTTCCCAATTAATTATAACAGTTTACCTGTCAAATGAAATAAAAGTTTTGGTTGTAAAAAGTGTTGGAAATAAAATAAATTTGTTCGACTTTAAAATGTATCAAATATAAAATAGAAAGCATTCTTGTAGAGCTTTCGGACAAAATTGATCGAGAGTTGTATTAAAAACTAACTCATGACCAAAAAAAAAAAAAGTGACCTTAGGTTCCTTTATATATACATAAAGGAACCTCCTGTACGATCTAGGCTCGAATTATCTATGGACTTTCCTTGGCGAATAGAAAAAATGAGATGAAAACAATTGGATAATGTTAACAAAATAATAAAAATGAATAAAATACAAAAATTGAAACGTTGAGAAAAAATTAATTATATGGAAAATGGCATCCTCTAAAATTAATAAGAATATCTAATAAAATTCAAAATATGTTTTTATGTACTAGACACTCTAAATCTTACATATTAAGGGAGGAGGAGAAACTAATACAGAGATGTAGAAATAAAATAAAGCATTTTATAAAATAATAAGGATTAAAATATTTTTCCATGATATTATATAACTTTATTTGGTAATATGTAACCTTAGAAAAATTTGAAATTCTTATGAAAAACTAGGTTGGTGTTTAGATGGTCCTATATCAATTTTATCAAATTTCGCCCAGCACTTCCGCTACTACTCCCCGCCAAAACACTTAATTTTTATATGCGACCTTTCGCACTGACATTACTGATATACATGTTCATTGACAATACTACTGGTACAATACTACAGTAGTACTGGTGGAAATGAACTGCGTCGGAGTGTGAAGGTAATGTGTTGGCATTTGGATTCATTTACTTTAATACACCAGTGCTCAATCAGGGAGAGGTGTTTTTGAAGGTTTAAGGATGCTACATCAGGATCTGAGTTAGATGATAGAATGGTGGTGTCATCAGTAAACGTTGCCAGGAAGGTATCAGGATGGACAGGGATAACGGTGGTAAAGAGGATGTAAAGGACAGGACCCAATACCCTACCTTGAGGAACACCAGCCTCAATTGGATAGCAACTGGAAAATTCAGTGCCACATCGAACTCAGAATGTATGATCAGAGAGGTAGGAGCGGAGGACAAGGTATAAAGACAGAGGCAGTTAGGTTTTAAGTTTGAAAAGAACCCCGGCGTGCCATACCCGGTCAAAAGCTTGAGCTATGTCCAGAAATGCACCCGAGCATTAGTGCTTGCTTTCCAGAGCTGCGGAAATATGATCGACCACTCAAGTCCTTGTTGGACTGTAGAGTGTTGGGAACGGAATCCGAACTGATGTGAAGGAAGATTTTGAGCTTCTATGAAGTGTAGGATTCGTTTCAGGAGAATCTTTTCAAGGATTTTTGAAAGGATTGGAAGTAGGCTAATGGGTCTGTAGCAATTTAAGCTGTTGGGAGGTTTGCCTGGTTTTGGAAATAGGTTAATAGTAGAATTATTCCATAAAAGAGGAAAGTGGGTGGTTCGTAGGATGCTATTGTTTAAGTATGTAAGGAATATGACTGCTTTAGGAGGGAGTTGTCTAAGGATCTGACAGGTATGAAGGTCGTGTCCAGGTGATTTGCGGGTAGGTAGTTTTTGGAAGTGATATTTGACCTTAAAAGGATTAACTGCTTTAGGTGGTAAGGAGAGTGAGATGGGTGAATTAAGGAATTCCTCTACTAATGACGTGTGAGTGTGGTTGGATTCCGGATGAGAGGTGAATGTAGGGGAAAGGTGTTTGGCGAATTCCTTGGCTTTATCTTCATCAGACGCTCCCCAAGAGACATCACCTCGACATAGGGGATGTGATACATGATGGGGTTTTAGGATTTTTTAAGTGATCTTCCATAAGGAATTGTCATGAACAGAGAGAAAAGTAAGGTAGGAGGTTGAAGGATTCGGATCTGAAGGTGACCAATTTCAGCAGAGAGGAAGCAGTCCAGATTGCTTGTTGAATAGTGGTGGTAAAAAAATGTACGGCATTGTCAAGGTCTTCTGGGGTTTTAAGGGTTATTCTGAGGTTAATTTTATCGGAAAGGATTTGGTGAAAGAGTTTCCAGTTAACTGGGCCTCTGATGAAGGACGGTGGTGAAGGCTTAGGAATAGGAGCTAGAGATAATTGGAGTAATAATGGACTAGGATCTGAGGAAAGTTCGTCAAGACGGGTAAGGGAATGATTGAGGGGACCTAAGCCACTGCGGATAAAAAATCAAGGATATCGGGATTGCGGTTAGGATCCGTGGGCCAGTAGGTAGGTGACTTAGAAGGAAGGAGACTGAAACATAGAGAATTGAGTAAAGATATCATTGTTCTACCATGAGAATTGGTGGTTTTAGAGCCCCATTGATGATGTTTGGCGTCTCCACTCAGGATGAAGTGATGTCCTAAGGAGTTGAGAAGAGAACTGAAGTGGACATTGGATATGGATTTGTTAGGAGGGCAATATGCTGATGCTATGGTGATGAGAAAGGAGAAAGTTTTGATTACGATGGCGGTGGATTGTAGGAAATCTTGAGTAGGTGATAGAGTAGAGCTTAATTAAAATAAAAGCTTTGTAATAATTTATTATAGTTATTTTTGCTGAGAACTAAAGTACTTTGAGGTGACAGAATATCAAGTCACATGATGTTTTTACCCTGCTAGAGGTGAATCTCATGTCATTCTGTAACAGCATATTATATGGCATATTTTGAGGGTTTTTACTGCATAAAAATCTGGGGCCTGATAAATAACCACGATAATTCTATTTGTATTGAAAGGAAATTTTATCTAGTTTACTATGAAGTAATTGGTAGTTACCTAAATTAAATATTTTTTGGTTGTTATTGATATCTATAAAAAAGGAATTCTATTAAACATAAATTAAAACAGAATAAATTAAACTTAAATTTCCTCCTTTTTTGTGTGTGGAATCTGAATGATGTTTATATGAACTTAGTTGTAGCTTTTGAAGTCTATCACCTCTTTAAAGATTTACAATTACTTATATGACCTAATGCCTGAAAAGAATAATTATTTTATAATTTATATTATTTTGCTTAATAGCATCATGTTTTTCTAAAAACAAAATGATAAATGGCAGATTTCCATGACCACCCAGGAGGTACTGCCAGTGGTCTCGTTACCTTTTTGCTAGTGGTAGGTATCACAACATTGAGCCACTATTTTGTACATTTATTTGAAATACTTTTAAGTACTATAATTAAATAAATGTCAAAATATAGTGCCTCAGTGTCGTCCTAAACCACACCCATATCTAAAACAAATAGTAATAAATTTTATACATAATTATTAATTACTATCAAAATTCAGTATAAAATTGTTGAATTAAAGTTTAATATGTATAATTAAATAATGATAAACGTAAAAATATAGTGCCTTATTGTTCAACAACGCATTCCATTTTCCTAAAACAAAAAATAATCAATGCTAAACACAATTATTAAATAATGTCAAAATATAGTAGACAAGTTTTAATTGATAATTATATAACTAATTAATAATTAATTTCAAGAAATAGCGACTGTGTCTCCCCAAAAGTTTTCCTGAAACAATAAATAATTAATTCTGTTCAAAAGTTTTGATTAATACTAAGTAATTTAAAATGTTAAATAATTATAGTAGAATAATAGACATTAAATTTTCAATACAGTTATATTTTTCATAAGTTAAATTTTACCCGAACAGCAGTATTTTCCAACAGCTATATGGACAACACTCCCGTGGCTTAGTTATTAGCTTGGGTCGAGGATATGGTTTCACATTGACAAGTGAACTGGCGTTAACAGTACTGCGACTCTAAAATATACTGCGATGTTAACAAGAAATATTGATAGCTTTTTTAAACTTAAATTAAATATATATATACTGATTTATTTATTTAATTGGGATAAAGTCACTTATTAATTATTCAATGAACTACTAAATGTTCATTGCTTCTGTGTTTATTCGACGTTTCAATCCCGGTTATTTATAAGTTAATAATGTTATCCTCTTCAAAGCTAGAGCAACAAATAGCTCAATCGGTACATAATTATGTTTCCATATGTTTCTAGTACCAATTATTTCAAAATTGTAACCTAATTTTAAAATAGAGCCTCGATACCTCAGGACAGGGACACAACAACAGTCTCAGCACCGTCCACCAGAACATATATTAAGCTACTGGACCACTAAGCGTCTGCCCACCCCGGTCCTGAGACCGAAGGCAAAATATTACATACAAAACAATGAAAATTGCATCTATGGTATATAAAGCAATTAAAAAATGCATTCACGATAAATATAACAGCATCAAGAACATATCTCTATCAACAAAAAGAGCTTGTATAACAACTCTTGGTTATAAATTAACGTATCCAAACTAATTAACATTAGATACACACACATATAACCTTTATCCTTGATCCTTTTCCCCAGAATTCTCCTTCCCAACTCTACTGTTATGACTAATATCCTGAATTCCTGTCACATCAACGCACAATCCCTTATTGCACACTACGATGAATTCCAGAAATATTTCCTTGACAATTTTTACCACATTATAGCAGTATCTGAAACCTGGCTAAAACCTTTTATCCCATCTTCCCAGATTTCCTTACCCGATTACTCGTTCCTACATCACGATAGATCTCATCGCACGGGAGGTGGTGTCGGATTATATATCCATGACAGTCTTAAGGCCAAAATCCTTCTACAGTCTCTTCATCATGATTTTCCTCAAGTGGAATACATGTTCGTTGAAATTTCCTCTATTCCCTCTCCTCTGTTGTATGTCGTAGTTTACTGCCGTCCTCGTGTTCTATTTGACAACCTTTTTGGTCTTCCATTACTGAACTGGTTTCTAACTATAAAAATATTATTATAACCGGCGATTTCAACGTAAATATGCTTTCACAATCTCCTGAAAAATACTTCCTAACCGACCTACTGTTTTCTCTTAATCTTTATCTTGCTCCTTATTCTCCTACCCCTGGTTAGACCTCTACATCTCTGACTCGCACATCAAAATTATCTCCTCTTCCCAACACCCCTTCCATTTCTTTCATCACACAACCTGATCCAAATTACATACGACCTACCCGTAAAATCCTTTACACCCAAAAAAGTTTCATACCGTAATTTAAACCTTTTGTCCTATGAATCCCTACAACCTGACCTTGATTCTTCCTATGACTCTATTGATCCTATGGTATCTACCCTATCCTCAAACCTTATTAGACACCCATGCTCCTCTGAAAACTAAAACCTCACATCGTCCCACTGCACCTTGGCTGACTCCTGAAATAAAGGAAATGATGAAAAGAAGGGATGCAGCATGGCGCAAATGGCATCGAACCCGTTTGTCAGCTGATTATGGGTCTTTTAAGAAACTTCGCAATGTAACCCAATCCACAATCCGACTTGCTAAAGCTACCTACTTTCATAATGCCCTTTCCAATGCTTCTGATTCCAAATCCAAATGGAAAATACTTCGTAACCTATCCCTACCAGAATCCAATAAACTCAGTTCCATCCCGGTGAATCCAGATGATCTCAATGACCATTTCCTATCCTTCACTCACGATTCTTCTCCTACTTTCGATATTAAACATCACAATTTCAATCCTTTTTCTAGCATGTGACCTATGATGAATTACTTTCCACTATCCTAAAATCCCACACTAATGATTATGGTCCTGATAATATCCCAATAAAACTAATAAAATCCAGCCTTCCTACCCTTATTCCTGTTCTTTACCATATCTGCAACTTTTCACTGCAAAACTCTATATTCCCATCCTCCTGGAAAACTACCTTAGTCCGACCTTTGAATAAAATTCTCAATCCTACCCCACTTCACGATTTCCATCCTATTTCTCTCCTATCCAACCTCTCAAAGCCGTTAGAATGCCTTGTCCAAAATCAACTCTCCAATTTCCTAGAAGAACGTTCCCTTATCAACCCATTCCAATCTGGCTTTCGACCTGGTTGCTCAACGCAATCCGCTCTCCTTAAAATAACCCATGACCTCCAAAACTGTCACAAAGAAACTACAAGAAGACTTGGATAGGATTTGTGACTGGGCGAGAACTAACAAGTTGAAGTTGAATACGGGAAAGACGAAGGCAATCTTAATAGGCACCAATCACCTCCTTAAAACTGTTCCTAATATTCCAACTCTGTTCCTGCATGATAATCCCATCAAATTTTATCCCACCGTCAAAAACCTTGGAATAGCCTTCGATCAAACACTTTCCTGGAAAAACCATGTATCCAATATTTCCCGCCGTACCATTTCCACTCTAAAACGTCTAAATTATTCTCGTCACCTATTTCCATTTGAAACCCGTAAGCTCCTATTCACTTCTTTAATTTACCCCCACTTTACCTATTGCTGTTCGGTATATGGGGGCATCTCTGGGGATCTCGAGGCGAAACTAAAACGTTTAATAAAATACTTTGTACGATTCATCTTCAGGATACCAAGGGACGCCTCTGTTTCCCATTTTTATGCAGAGTTGAAGTGGCTTTATCCTTCCTACCATCGAAAATATTTCCTGGTATCATTCCTCTTTCAAGTTATCCAAACACATCGTCATTCATACATCTCTGAGCTCCTTCAATTCAAATTCTCTGTTCGTTCCCGGTCTTCTGACTTATACATAAGGGACTGCTGATGAAAGACAAATCTTTCATTATCCGATCCTCATCCCTTTGGAACTCCATCCCTTTTCACATTCGACAATCTAATACCCTTCCTAAATATCAACTACTTAAAATATATGTATACTAGTCATCTTATAAAATATCAACATTATAAAATCATAAAACAATATTAAAAACTCAACTACAGTTCCCATTCTCTAATTGTATTCTCACCTTCACTAAACAAACACAATATCAATAGATAACTAGCCCTAAAAATCAAACGAAATCTCTCATCTAAATCATACAAATTTTAAAATGTTGCTATACTCACAATTCAATTTCGCCAAATCATTCCGGTTATTTATTACGTTTTTGGTCCTTCCAATGTGCATCATCTCTATAGGTTCTTCTATAGTCAACCATTTTTGCTAATTCTTTTCCATGTCTAGTATCTTGACTTTAAGACACGGCGTTAGCTATTCATGCTATTAATAATATTAGTTTATTTATTTATTCAGAAATATTACAATCTGTCACAATTAAGGACATTTATAATAGTGTCCAGCAGTGGCAGATCCAGGAATTTTCTCAGGGGGGCGCACCTCTACCACGTGCTTCCCTCACCCCTACCCGTTCTCCCACCACTACCCATCTCCCCACACTCCTTAGCTGAGTTTAGTCCCTCAAAAGTCCTCTTTAAATGATTTTTACAAAAGCAAACTCAAATTGTGCGTCGAACCAGTACCTAAACTTAATAATTTGATTAAGTGATATGGTCGATAACCACGGTCAATGAACGCTGTTTTTTTGGATCTTTTTTTTCAGAATTTTTTCTAACATCCAGAGAGGGACGCACTCATAGGCAGAAATCACTAGTGCTGGTCACGATAATTACTTTTTTCTATATAACATTAGAAAATTCGTCTATGAGAATGAAGTTTTCCTATATTTTTCTTTTTTTTAAATAGGTATTTTTTTTCACCATCCAAGCGCCCCCCGGCAGAATTCGCCCTTGCTGGTCACGATAATAATAATAATTTTTTTTTTATATTACACTAGCTTTACCCGGCCATGCTCTGCTGTGGCTTAGTCTGGCAAAATGGAAAAGAAAGAAAATAGAAAGCACATATGAGTGGATTAATACCAAAGGACATCTGTCATCTCTAAAAAGTTGGGAAACAAATTTGTCTGTAAAATGGCTTCAATTTAAACTAATTCTAATGATTTTTTTTTTCATGATTTAACTTGAACATTCGTAATCATCTGAGTGAATACGCCGTCATTCTTAATCATCAGAAACAATCTTAGTTGAACTTATAAAACTAAAATTGAATTTATCTTCGCTTTCTGAAAATGACAGAAATCCGTCCTTTGATATCAAGCCACTCACATATTTTCATATTTAATTTTATTATTATTTTTTTATATTTAATTTATTGTTTAATGTTCAACTTTGTGTTGATCATTTTATGGCAAATAAAAATGTAAATGTTTAGTTGTTCTAACTCTTAAATCTCGGAAAGTTCTGCATCCATTGCCTTGAAATTATGGCTTAACGTTCCATTCAAATACGCGCGTGGTTTAATATATCCAATATTATAATATACAAGGTGAAACTATACATATTTATTAAAACCTTACTATCAGTTGGATGTAAATGCAACACATGCAATTTAAAATATTTTACGATACTGTCTCAATATTAAAGATTTTCAAATATCAATCGGGGCAATGTATTGAAATTGCACTATACCATTTATCATAGCGTTCATTTCGTGTGCATTAGAGCTCCATTCCCCTCCTAAGATAGTTGATTGCTTGCTTCTTCTTAATAACAACTTGATTAAATATAGTTGTAAAAATTGTAATGGAAAAATAAACCATACTCATGAAAGAAATCCTACGGTAAACGGCACAACCTTATTCCAAAGTAATGTTAAAGAAAAGAATTTATTAAAAAATAAAATAAACTGAAATCAATAAACTGATTTCTGAAAGGAATATAAATAGTGATAAGTATTACTCAAGAATTAAATATTTTTAAATAACATTTGCAAATTAAATATTTGAAATGTATCGTACTAATTCCAGAATACTTAGGGAGGAAAATAAAAAATTTATCTAAAGAGCGTATAATAGTATTGACCTACATAGGGAGAATCATATCA